GCACCCTCTCCAGGACCAAGGCAGGGCGACCTGGCCCTGCTGCCCGCTCCTGCCGGGGCAGGTCGGCGGGGCCAGCCTCGCGGGCTGACCCGCCCCCCTCCTAACGGGGCGGCGCCTCGGAATCTTCGGCGACGCAGTCAGCGAGAGACCCTTCGAAGCTGCGGTGCCCGCTGCTCTCGGGACGGGGCCGCGGCCGAGGCGCGCCATGCCGGCGTGTCCGAAGCCACCTGGGGCGCGAGAGCGAAGAAGGCTGGGAACGACTGCGATCTCCGAATCGACGATGATGCGTTCCAGGATGAGTTGGGCGATCCGTTGGCCTGGTCCGCGCGCTGGTTTTGTGCGCGATCACCTTGATCTCGCCGCGGTAGTCGGGGCCCACCACGACGCCCGCGACGTCGATGGACTGGGGAGCTAGTCCTGAGCGCGGGGCAACCCATAGGTGGGTGCCCGGCGGCGCGAGAGCTGCCGCGCTCGTAGACACAAGTTCTCGACCATAGGTCGCGATACTGACGTCCGCGCTGGCGCGCAGGTCGTAGCCTGCTGCCCGAGGCGCGCCCCGCGCTGGCGTCTGTGCGTTGGCGTTGAGAAGCTGGGCCTTTAGCTTCTTGATTTCGCGGCCGTCGCAGGCGTCGCCCTGGTGGTTGTTGCCCACTGCTGGCAATGTGACTTGCTTAGGTGGCGGGCCCTAGGAAGGCGGCTGGAGTCGGTCGAAGTGGTCAACTGGAATGCTCACTCGGTGCCGATTCCTAATCAAAATGGACGGCGCTGCGGCTCAAACTGATTCCGTGGCCGCCAGGCCCGGGGAACGCAAGGCGTTCGTGGTCTGCGCCTGTCTCCACTACCTCGTTGCTGGACCGCGCGGATGGCAGACCGAGAAAGGCCGTGAGATTGACTCCCGCGCCCTCCACGGCCGGAGCGCGCATGCTGCGCTGCGTGGTCGCGCCGTGCCGTCGCGGGTGGTCACCGCGATGGGGCAGTGCACCTCCCAGTGTGCAACCTGAAATCCGTTGCTGACTCCTGCCGCACAGAGTCGACAGCGCCCCCTCCGCGGGGATATATCTTGGCCCTCTGGGCCTTGTCGGCCAGGCTCATGGCTAAGCGTGACCCCCTGAGGTTGGTCCAGGCGTCTGAATCGACGACGGCGCCTCACCGGCCGCCCGGGAGGACGGTGCTCGCCAAGTAGAATGGCAAGTCGTTCAGCGAGGTGGCATCAGCAACTTGCACGAGGCAGGGCCACGTGGAGCTTGATCCACGCGGCGCGCTGATGCCGAGAGCTGAGACTGTCGTCGCGCAAGCCCAGCGCGGCAGCCGCACGTCGGCAGGTGGGGTCGGAGGCGCTGCCGATCGCGCGATGACGTCGCCTGCCCAGTCGCGCCCTTGAGCTCGCCCCAATGGGAATGCACCGCCCGCGCCTGTCCACCGCGACGGTGTCGGTTGCGGTGGTGCCACTGGCGCTGCCGGGGCCGTTGGCGCCGCGGGCGCGGCTGGCGCTGCGCCCCCCGCCCCTGCCGCGCGAGCCGGCAGCGCAGTTGCCGGGCCCGCGGGTTGAGCAGAAACCTGCCGCGGGCGGTTCATGTGTTCAGCCACGTCTTCACGCGGTCGTCGCACCTCTGCCTCGCGCGGGCTAAGGGGGGGCGACGAAGGCGACGCCCCTGCCCAGCTCGACCAATGGCTGCGGCCCACTGCTTGCCACGAACCGTCGGAAGTGGCACTTGGCGCTGCTGCCGTGGCTGGCCGCAACGCTGCCGCTGCTGCGCTACTGGAATCGGCCGTCCGCCGCTCCTGGGAGCGGCGCTCTGCGTTGGGTCACCTCCGTTGGCGCCCCCAGTCGTAGACTGGGGAATCCTGGAGGCGCCCCTGATCACCCCGACCGCGCGCGCGCGCCAAGTGCGGGTTGCTGAGCTGTCGGCCCAGGCGCACCCTGACGCCCCAGGCGCGCAAGCGGTGGCGAAGTCGTCGGCGGCGGCGGCGCCGCGGCTGAGGATGGGGCGCCGAGGAAGAGAGCGCGCCCCTGCCGACGGCGCCAGGGGCAGTCGCGCACGAGGTGCTCCTCGGGGTCATACTCGCCGCACTTAAGACGGCCCCGCCAGGGCCTGAACTCCCCCTCTGCCCGCCCCTTGCCCCGCCCAGAGCTAGCGAACGCCGTGCCGGAAGTCATTCTCGGGCGGGTCGGCCAGGAAGGCGCGGCAGCCTTTGCCGCGGCCTTTTTCCATGTGTTTGATGACTATCCGCGCGCAGCGGGTGGGCTTGCGGCCGCTGAAACTGCGCCGCCATGATTTGGCGCGATCGCAGGCCCAGAAGATGCGCGCGACGCGTTGTTCCATTGGAGCGTCTTGTAGCTCGGAGTCGTCAGCGACGATCTCTTCGCCGAATGAGCTGGTCGCGTCGGAGTCGGTGCCTGAGTCGAGTCGACACATGCTGGCGGGCATGCCACCTGCGCTGGGGCTGCCGCGCCAAGGGCAGCGGCGGCCGGCGCTGCAGGCGGGCTCGGCGCCGCTCCCAGGGCAGCCGGGCCCGTGCCATCCCAGCTCGATCCGGTCGCGGTGCCTTGCGCGCCCCGAGACTGCTCTGGCGCGGGCGTGCCGGCGAAGAACGCACGTCGCTGAGTCGCGTGAGCGGCCGAGGCGGGGGTGCCCGGCGAGCCCGCGAATATGTGCCCAAGCCGTCGCAGCTGGCCAGTCATGCGCGACAGCTGCTGAGTAGTTGTGGGCTAGGTCATTTCGCAGTGCTGCAATATCACGTCGAATGGGACGTTCGACACGCCCGCCGCGCTCATTACGAGGTAACTGACTCCCTCGTAGCCGATCAAGAATTGACCAGCCTGCTGCGCCCTCTTGCGGACGATGTTGAACCTGGTGGGGAGGTTGTCGATGCGCTCCTGCAGCAATCGGTTGAAGTTAATCAGGGCCGCTGCCGCTCGGGCGCGCCCCCCCTCGTCTAGCTGGCCCCGCCGTTCGGCCAGACTGCGCATTGGGAAGATCATTGGCGGCAGCTGGGTTGCCGTTGATGCGGCCTCTCTCTGGATCATGGCAGCCAGCGGCCACTCGTCAACGCACTCGCGCGCCATGCCAGCGAGGTGAGACGAGACGTAGGCCGCTTGGCAGAACTCGTTGAGATCGGCTTGCGCCGCTGACCAGGTCATGACCCCCCGCGCCCAGCGCTGGAAAGGCGCGCGAGCATGCTGCTCGGGCCACCGGTTGCGGAGGCATCGCGCGTTGCCGCCACCGCCGCCGCCACCGTCCATGCAAGCGATGCAGCTGGTGGCAGCGACCATGCCCACTCCGATGGCCTTCCATCCGGGGTGGGGCCCCCGCCACGCATCGAGGAGATGTTGGAGTCCTGGAACCCACCAGCGGCGATGCTCGGGTAGACTGCCACGGAGCTGCCATGGGTATCTGTCCCGGGCATGCTCATCGTCAGCACCGTATTGGGCAGACTGTTCTGACGTATGGCTGAAGTGCGATCAGCACTCGAAACATCCCACAACATAGTCGTGGGTATGATCGTCGTGCGTCTCCTTGTCACTGTACTGAACACCACCAACTGCACGATTACAAAGAGGAGGGCGCATCGGCGCACCGGGATCCAGGTCTGCCAAGTAAGACGGAGCGAGCGAGCAATACGGCAGGTTAAACTCCGGGAGACCGAGGACGAAAGGGAGTGATGTCCACAGTGGCCAAGCCCTCCGTTTCTCCTCGCCTTTCTATGCCTGAATCCCCCAGGCCCTGACAACACAATCACCACAAGCTAAAGCTCGAGACGCCTCGCCAACAAGAAGATGCGAACATACTATGGGTCGACTGCCTGACACCTTCGGCTACAGCCGGGCTGCTGCAATAAGGAACCCTGAATCAGGAACGGAGCCCCTTGTTGGCGCCAGGCGAGCCTGGGTGCACGAGGAAGGCTCAAGAAACAATCACCGAACGACCCAAGACACAGCGAGCCCCTTTCCGAACCCAAATCGGTCCTTGTCTTCAGGCGGATGCAATGGAGGCGTTGTGTCCGTTGTCGTTTCTTTCCGGGGCTGCTGCAGCACATTCACAGGTAGCTCGGGGCCATTCGCCAACACCGAACATGTGAACGCTGTGTGAAGCAAGCGTCTGGCATCTGAGGCTGCAATCACGGGCGCATGAGGTGATGGCGTCGGGTCCGCGAGCTGATCAGGCATAGTCTGGGCGATCCCGGGAGAAGTTGCCGAGAGAGGCGGCGCGGGGCCGCGGTCCTTGATGTGGAAATACTTGGAGATGTTCGTGCGCAGCTCTGTTTCCGTCGTTCCTGACGGTTGGGCACGCGGCGCCCCGACGGTCCTACAGACACGCCGCCTGTTTTGGCGAAGTGGAAGAATTGCACGAGGGCGAGCGCACAGCGGAAAAACACCACAGCATGCTGATGAAAAGCGGAAGCGCGCAGAGCATGTTGACGTAGAGCGGTCGCAGCGAAGGCGAGGTGTTGCCACGCGGGCCATGGCTGCAACTGGAAGGGAGCCAAAGCTCTGCTTGCAACTGCGAGTGCTGAGCGGTGGGAAGAGACATGTCGAGTTTCACGGATGTGTCTACAAGTGGAAAGTGTGTATTGAAGCGGAAATGTGATAGAGCGAGCGCGGAAGGTTGACCTTGAGCCAAACAGCCACAAGCGGGAAAAAAACGTCCGTATCCTGCATGCAAAAAAAGGCCTATGTGCCGTTCGAGTGCGTCGAGGACGAGGCCGATGACGATGATGATGACGGCGACGGCGACGGCGACGGCCGCGGCGACGACGGCCGTGCCAAAATTCATTCACTGGGTCCTTGGACCCCTGGGGTCCAAACGCAGCAATGTTTCGAGCCGCGTCCAGCAGTGACGGCGAGGGCCCCCGAAGCCCAGAAAACCTCCAACCTCAATCCTCGAGGCTCGAGGTTCGAACCTCGCCGTGAAAAACGACGCCCGCGACCAGGACCAGGACCAGGACCGGGACGAGGACGAGGACGACGACCAGGACGACGAGGGACGACGACGACCCGCCTCGCTGCCGAGCGCCCCGGCGCCGCCCGTGGCCTGCACCTGCTGGCGCGCCAGCGCGCTCAGACAGGCGAGGGTGTCCTGCGGAGGGGGAGGCTACAGGATCGGGACTCGAGGATCGGGGGTCGAGGCTCGGGGCTCGATGAGCGAGACCCGGGGCTCGATGCGCGAAGCTCGGGGCTCGAAGCTGGAGGCCCGAGCATCGAAGCTCGAGGATCGGCGCTCGAGGTTCGCAACTCGAGGATCGCGGCTGGAGGATCGAGACTCGAGGATCGAGGTTCGATGCTCTAAGATGGAGGCGCGAGAATCGAGGCTCGAGAGTCGAGGTTCGAGGCTCGAGGATCGAGTCTCCAGTCTCGATTCTCAATGCTCGAGGCTCGAGCTTCGACCATCGAGGTTCGAGACTCTAGGTTCGAGGTTCGAGGTTTGAGGCTCGAGGTTTCAGGTTCGAGGCTCGAGGCTCGAGGTTCGAACTTTGAGGTTCGAGGATCGAACCTGAAATCCGACGTTGCGAACACTTGCAAGATCGCAAGAAATCAAAACTGGAGCCACAGATCTGATGTATTTTTGGAGTCGGATCGATCTGTGATGGCGCTGGGGCCTGGAACTGGGCTGGCGAGAAAAATGCAACGCCGGTTCTCGGAGGAGGATGGAGGATCGAGGTTCGAGGTTCGCGGACACTTTTTCGCTCCCTCTGACCCTCGGGACGACTTGGGACGCCGCCTGGCCGATCTCCTGCCAGATCACCTCCGTGGAGGCCTTGGGGTAGGCATGCGAGGAGGCTCGGGGCTGGAGGCTCGGGGCTCGAGGTTGGAGGATCGAGGCTTTAGGCTCGAGGCTCGAGGATCGAGTCTCAAGGATTGAGGCTGGAGGCTCGGGGCTCGAGGTTGGAGAATCGAGGCTTTAGGCTCGAGGCTCGAGGCTCGAGGATCGAGGCTCGAGGATCGAGGCTCGAGGCTCGGGAGCTTGAGGTTGAAGGATCGAGGCTCGAGGCTCGAGGCTCGAGGATGGAAGTTCGAGGCTCGAGGATGGAAGTTCGAGGCTTGCGGACGTTTGTAGGCTCTGTCTGGCCCTCGGGCAACTCTCGAAAGGCCACCCGGCCGACTTCATCCCAGGGCACCTCCGTGTGGAGGCCTCCGTGGGGACGCTGGCCAGGAGGCTCGAGGCTCGAGGCTCGAGGATCGAGGCTCGAGGATTGAGGGTCGAGGTTCGAGGCTCGATGGTCAAGGTTGGAGGCTCGAGGCTCGAGGCTCGAGGGTGGAGGATCCAGGTTCGAGGACTGAGTGTCGAGGATCGAGGCTCGAGGCTCGAGGCTCGAGGCTGGAGGGTCAAGCTTGGAGGCTTGAGGCTCGAGGGTGGAGAATCCAGGTTCGAGGACTGAGGATCGAGGCTCGAGGATTGAGGGTCGAGGTTCGAGGCTCGAGATACGCGGACGCTTCTGACTCTCTCTCCCGGGGCACCTCCGTGGAGGCCTCCGGGGACGTAGGCTCGAGGCTCGAGGCTCGAGCTTCGAGGCTCGAGCTTCGAGGGCAAAGGAGGGAGGGAAGCGCAAGACGAGGCCGGTGTCAGGACAAGATCGGACCGGGAAGCTGTCAGGGATCTCCGAGATCTGGCAGCTCTGGAGGACGTACTGGGTACCAAGTGGCCGCTCCACAGCGCTTCGAGACGCTCTGAGAGCGTTCTGGAGCGCTCTGGAACGATTTACCCCAGTAGTGGGCCCGCCCAGGAGTGGCGGCAGGCAGCGGCGGAGAGGGGGGAAGGCAGGAAGGGCGTGCGGGAGGAATCAGCTCGGACCCCATCGACGATGCGTGCTCCGATGTCCAGCCATTGTTGCTTCCTCGCCTGCGCCTGGAGGCGGAGGGCGAGAGATGAGGGGCATGGGAATCGGCTGGTGAGGAGCAGTGGGGGAGGAGCAGGAGGAGGGATGAGGGTTGAGGAGGGGGGTAACGAAGGTGAGGAAGGATGAGGGCGAAGAGGGAGTGATGTACAGGGATGAGAGAGAGGGCGAGGAAGAGCGGAGGGCGACAGCAGCAGGAGAATGACGGCGGAACCCTCCAGGTCCCCACAGAGCCTCAAGCACCTCCTCATTACGTAAAACCTCCGAGCGCCTCCCTCCTCTGCCTCTGTGCCTACCTTCCCGTCCTCCTCCAACTCCTCTTTCTGGGATCCCCAAGAGGTCTCTGGTGGTCACCAGGTCCCCGGAAATGTCTGGAGGCCTCCCGAGGCTTCTGGAGGCACACACACACAAACGAACGAACGAGCGAAGATGATCAAACGTCTGTCTCCCTGCTCCCTCCACCCCTCCCTCCATCCTCCGACTCGTCCTGGGGTGGGGCGGGAGAGGTGGCTAGCGGAGCGCAGAGAAGGGAACGGGGAGGGAGGAAGGCATCTCAGCAGCCTTCCCCCCCACCCCCTTGACTACCTACCAGACCACTCCAACCCAACCCGAAGACCCGAATTTGACCCGAATTTCGGGTTGGGGGGGGGGGTACGGGTTCCATGTGTTTTTCAGTGTTCCCCGACCCCCCCCCCACTGGAAATGGACGGCAAATTGAGGCCTTCGGGTTGGGTTGGGGTGGTTTGGTGGGTGGTGACCCCTACCCCCATCTGCGCTTGGCCGAGGGGGAGGGGTCGCGCCCGTCTCAACCGGAGCAACACCGCCCAGAGCGGCACCTGCACCGTCCTCAGCCAGCCGGCGGGGTGCGGGCCCCTGCTGCACAGAAGCGCACGCCTCGTCGCGCTGGTCGCGGCCAGACATGGACAGCGGAACGCCGTCGTGCCCGCGCGTGGAGGCTTGCGCGAGAGAGCCCGTCCCGCACCTCACGAAGAAGAGGACCCGGACGAGCTGGAAGAGATTCGTTTTTTCTTCTTCTTGTTCTTCTTCGTTTTCGCCTTCTTCTTCTTCTGCTTGTCCTTCGTCTTCTTCTGCTTATCCTTCTTCTTCTGCTTCGGCCGTTTTTTGCTCTTCTCCTCCCTGGCCCTGCGCTTCACAGGCTGCCCCTCCTCCCCCTCCAGCGCGCCCTGCCCGGACGCCTCCTCGGACCCCGCCCCCACGAAGTCCCACACCTTGCCGTCGATGCCCAGCTTAGGAAAGAACAACAAAAGCACCAGCCTGCATCGTCGGTGGCCCGCACGGACTTCCTGGACCTGCGCGGACCCCCCCCGGCGAGCTCCGCGCGCCCGGGAGAGGGGCCCGGCACCGATCCAGAACAGCCGCGCGGGCACCCGAGCATGTCATGTGCTTATGCCAGCGGTTGCTCTTCGAGCTTGGCCCTGGGCTTGCCGCCGGCCCGTGCCACCGCCCCCTCGGCCTCCGCTGCGTCCCGCCGCCTCCGGCAAGAAAAGGAGCGAGTCCTGAGGGAAACGGGCCCTGGACCCCGGGGTCGTCCCCCGGGCCCAAGTCTCCTCACCTGCAGACGGTCCTGGGGCCCGTGGGGGGGCCCGAGAAGCCCAAAACCACGAAGATTCTCGGTGCACGCTTCCCTCAGGACCCGCTCCCAGACTTCCGATGTCATGATTTTTCAAAACGCCCCCCCCCCCGGAGCTCTGGACTACCTCCTAGGGACTGGCCTGCAGTCCTGGATCGCTCCTTGACGACCCCAAGGCCTGGCAAAGGCACCCCAGGCCACAAACGACGAGAGGCCGCAGCCGTGATTTTGGCCTCAATTGCGCTGGAGGTCTGGGCTTCCTTCGTGGCGACGCCTGTAGGAGCCCACGGGCGCCTCCGGCAGGGCGCGGGCGCTCTCGTCGTCGGACTCCACGCGGCTGGCCAGCGACTCCAAACTCTGGCCGAAGCCACCTCCTGGGCCGCCCGCGGCGAAGGGCCGCGGCGCGCTGGGCTTGGCGCCGGGGGCGAACTCTCCCAGCCGCACACCGGTGATGGCCCCGCGGCTGCCGCTGCGCAGAGAGCGGGGGAGGCCGCGCAGTCGCTCAGATTGGGGGAGGCGGAGGAGGAGGAGGAGGAGGAGGAGGAGGAGGAGGAGGAGGAGGAGGAGGAGGGCGGGACGGCTTGGTGAGCAAAGCGCTGGCTCGGTGCTGCTTGGCCCAGACGTGCACGCCGCCCTCACGGACCTGTTCCCGCAGGGAGCTCTGCCGGAGGGGCTGCCCGCCCCCCCTCCGGTGTCACCGGAGACGCGAGCAGACCTGGTGGACGCCGTGCGCCAGAATCTGAAACGTTACCCGGCGCGCTCGGGGCCGGGCCCCAACGGCTCCCGGTTTGAGCACTGGGCCACTGCTGCGGCCGACAGCGAAGCGGCCGACCACGTCAGCCACGTGGCGGTCATGTTCCTGCTCGGAGACTGCCCGGCTGATTTTCTCAAGGCGAACTTGGGGGCTCGCCTGGTGGCCTTGCGAAAGCCCAACGGCAAGGCCCGACCCGTGGCGTGCGGGTCTGTGCTGCGGCGCATTGCGGCCAGGGCTGCGTGCCACGTGTTTCGAGAGCAGCTCACGCAGGCATGCGGGCCGCACCAGTACGCTGTGGGACGACAGGCAGGGTGCGAAAAGGTACATAAGGCCGTGACGGCACTGACGGCTGACTCGCCTGGCAACCTGGTTTAGCGTTCGACGCCACAAACGCGTTCAACACAATGCCGCGCGAGAAGATACTCGCAGGAGTCGCGGCGCGGTTGCCCGAACTGTACCAGGCGGCGGCCGTGTGGCTGGGCACAGGCACCACGCACCTTTGGTGGGGGGCGAGCAGCTCGGCCCAAGCAGTGCCAGCCACGAAAGGGGTCGACCAGGGCTGCCCGCTCTCGCCCGCCTACTTCTCCTTGGGGCTGGCGGAGGCGTTACGCAACATCGACGCTCGCCTGCGGGCCGCGGCGCCGACTGCTCGGGTGTTTTCCTACTTAGATGATGTGGTGGTGGTGGTTCCTACGACGCTCGGGGAGGCAGCGGCGCAGACACTGGTCGAGGAACTCACGCGAGCAGGACTCACCATCAACGAGGGCAAAACCGCGGCGTGGACCCGCGACCCAACGACGCCACTTTCGCCCCTGCTCGAAGCGCTGCGGGTGCCAACTCTCCGCTGCCTTGGGGGCCACCGCGCCCTGGGTGGAGCCGGACGACCCGCTGGGGCGGCTCGCTGTTCACGGGCAGGCTGACGGCGACGAGGCAGTGCGGGCCGCAGAGCGACTGATCACCCGACTCCAAGAACTGCGGGGTGCCGGACTCGGGGCGAGGGAGTGCTTCTGGCTGCTCCAAACCTACAGTAACGGTTGCGTCACGCACCTGCTCCGTGCAAACTACGAGGACGGGGACTGGTTTACCAGGCTCGACAGAACCGTCATACAGTTTGTGGAGGACTTCCTGGGCGACGCCCTCGACGAAGACCAGCGGGCGCAATGCTTCCTCCGGTTCGCCGACGGGGGCCTTGGGCTCGCCTCGGCCGCGCAGGCGGCGGCCGCCGCCTACCTGGGAAGCTGGGCGCTCACCCTCCGCAGCGTGGGCGCCTGCCTGGACGAGCCCTCCTGGGCGCTGTTCAAGGAGCGCTGCCCCCCTGTGGCCGAGGCCATAGCGAGGGCGGAGACTCGGCTCCAGGCGCAGAGTGGGGGGGTCTCTCGAGACGATCGACTGGACCGGCTGCATGGGCGAACCACTCCAGGGGATGCAAGGGAAGTGGGCGGGCGACCTCCGCAGCAAGGCACGCGAGCGGCTGCTGGCCTCTCTGGGGACAGACGACAGGGTGGACTTCCGCTCGTCAAGCGGCCCCGGCGCAGGAGGGTACTTGGAGCCGCCCGTCGTCCGCGAGGGAGAGACGCCCGCTAGAATGCCAGACGAACACTTCCGCATCGCCCTCAAGGACAAGCTGCGCCTGCCTGTGTGCCCGCCGGGCGCGACCTGCAAGCTCCGCAAGGCCGACGGAACGCTGTGCGGGGAGGCACACTCGACCGACGCGGCCGCCACGCCCTGAAGTGCCCGTGCGGCCCCTACCGCAACAACAAACACAACGGCCTCCGGGACTTCTGCGCCAGCTACCACCAGCGGACCACGGGACACGCAGCGCAGACGGAACAACGAGTTGTTGCTTGGGACAGGGTGAACCCGCGGACAGGGCGCCTCGAAGAGGCGCGGCTCGACGTCGCCACCCGCGACGCGGTGACCGGCCAGACAGTGTTTTTGGACACGAGCGTGACCTGCGCGCACAGAGGCACCGCGCCGCGCCAGCAGGCTCGCTCGAACAAGGACGGCCTCGCCGCCACCAACGCGGAGGACGCCAAGCGGGAGCGCTACCCGCCCGAGGGGGGCCAGATCATCCCGGTCATCTTCGAAACAGGAGGCTGCCCGGGAGACGTCACCGTGGCGTACGTCCGCTCCTGGGGTCACGACATGGCCCCTGCGGAGCGGACAAAGGTCATCCGCTATGGGTGGCAGCAGCTCAGCACCCGGCTGCATCTCGGCAACGCCGAGACTATCTTGGCGGCCGTTGGGCGCTGAGGCTCTACCAGGAGCGCCCCGACTTTCTTGAGCCGACACTAGCGGGAAGCCGCTAGCAGGGCCACTGCCCGCGGCATCACCCGCGCCGACAACGACGCAGGGACCACGACGCCGACGACGGCGACGGCTGCGCGGCTGCTGCCCCCCGCCCCCCGCGCTCCGCCGCCCCCGCCCCCCACCGCCGACAACCGCTACGATGGTGGCGATAGTGGCCGAAGCCTCCCGCCCCCCGGACCCCGCCGCGGTGGCCTCCGCCCTCCGCCCCCGCCGACGTGATTCGACGCCCCCTCTCCTCCTCCACTCCTTCGGCGGGTCGCCCCTGCTTGTTTTTTCCTGCGCCCTGGCTGCCGCTGTCCTTTTTCCTCCTCCCCCCGTTTCACCGGCAGCGCGGCGCGCAACCGGGAGGGGGGTCTAGCGCCGACCCAGGAGGGGTCCGCGCGGACCCCCGTTTGGCAGGTGGACTGTTCGGGACTACCTCCCCCCCTGCTGCTGCTGCTGCTGCTGGCCTGCCTCTGTCCCTTCTCTCCTTCGGCGTGGAGAAGGAGGGGGAGGAAGAGGAGGAGGAGGAGGAGG